GGGATAACAAACTAGCGAGGCTTGCCATGAGCACCTCCGACTGGTCACAAATGTTCTGGGCAATACTCTGTGTTATACCGGCGCGTATCGAGTCCATTACCATATCACCGGGTACTCCAGACAATATGGAACCACAGGCTAGGGCTAATCTGATCCGCTTGGATCAAGGGGACCCTCTCGGTGACTATCTTTCGAGAGAAGAAGATCAACTAGCTGTCATGTAATACCCCAGGCCTTGTGCCTTCTCTATACTCCTTGCCTCAGCGTACTGAAAACTCCGACTAAAAGGGCACTGGCTGAAAAGTATGCTGCTAGTGGAACTAATTGGTGTGCATTGGTCCAGCCGGACAAGACAGGTAGTAGTTGTAGTAGCTGATCAGCGAGGTCGTGTTGATAGCTGATCGTTGTTGTTGTTATTGTCAGCTTGTGAGCAGCAGCTGCGAGGTGCCGACTCTCATCGAATTGCCAAACTGCTAGCGGGCGCTCCTGCACCAACGGACACTGTCTCGATACCTACGGACTGGCGTGACATTGATCCCACTTGGCACTTCATAGACGAGAAGGATTGGATGGGCTACGTCTTAAAGGAACATGGCAGGGTCCTTTGGTAGTAGTGATGGCTCCCCTTGAGCTAGTGTTATTGCTTTTACTATTCATAGGAGACCTACCCCAGGGTACGGCGAGTTCTCGGATTCGAGTCTCTTCTACAGCGACGAGGATGCCTTTAGCGGTGCCGAGGAAGGGGACGCATGAGTTCTTTGTCTGCTGCCAAGCTTGAACTTCTATCTGGCTATCATTCTTTCGTCCAGCAGTGCTAGTGCGGATTTCGAATATTTTTCCCCGTCTGCAGTGCTGATGGAGTTGAGATTTTCGTAGCAGTTGATGCATCGCCTTTTCGACCTAGGGAGGTGTTGCCTAATACTGCCTCCTATCACCATTTGAATCACCGCCCTGAATTCTGCCCTGTCTCACTTGAGTGTCCTTCTTGTCCATCTATGTTGAGTTGCCGGAAATTCCGGGCCGAAATGGAGTCCTATATGCTACACCCGAACTACCATGAATGCTCGAATGGGCAGCTGGGCACGATCCCACGAGCTGCACATGCAGTATTCGCCGGACGTGTTGGTGATAGGCTAAGTGATAGGGTCCATGTGAGGGCCTCGTGTATGGTTAGTCGTAATGAAGCTGTGTCGATAAAGTAGGGTGATTCCAGCTGGCCTATGAGTGGTCAGCACGAGATCTTAATATGTACTTAATTTGAATAGTCCATCAGGCTCAATCTTCCAATTTTGGAGAAGCATTATCAAGTTCAGAGCATACACACAAGTACAGGAGTAAATGACCATGTTCCTCGGAGGCGTCAGAGGCATCATCCCTGTACAGTGGATAGTCTCCCTGAAGTAGTTGTACTGGTGCGGTACTAGCGACTCACCCCTCCCACAGGTCTGTCCTGTCACCTACTGGGTGACACCCGGTCCACTAGGAAAGAGTCTGTCAATTACCAATCACTTTCTCTCAAAATGTTCGGACCATTGAAACACCCCTGAGCGACCAAACTCACTCGTCGACTCGAACCACTGTTCTCTTCTCAGAACCTCCTTCGTGACTAGTAACTCGAAACCACCTTAGCTTGGTTCTTGAAATCCTACCTGCCTCCTTCGCCATAACAAGGGTTGATGACCCTGATCGCTTGCCAACCACCAGCGCCTGTGTTCATCTACTCAAGTTGCCCGACTACCGTACCACCTGCAGATCTGGTCTATCATACCGTACTTGCAGTTCTGTGTTCTTTCTGATGTTAATAGCGATATAATTTCACCAACATACTTTTTCTTCGCTTCACTCAACTTCTGATGCCTTTCTGAATTCAACATACTATAAGTACCGAAACGTGACAGTGGTTAAAAGGGGTATTTGTTTTGTCGATTGTTTACAGTTCGATCACGCGAACATCTTTTTATACATTTTCTTGGCCTTGGCGTTCTGCCTCTCAATTTGGGTCTCTAGTCTGCTCTCGAGCCTCACAACTTCCTTATCTTCTGGAGCCAAATGTCTCGCGCGCTTAGCAGAAGTCAGTCCCTCATCGAACTTTCCGAGATGGTCGAGGGCGAAAGCGAGACGGTAACTGAGAAAATGTAATGGCTAGAGTAATATAGTAGGACAGCTGGCCTACTGTGCCTTAACACTGCTATCATCGATCTTCACAGCCTCGGTTGCAGCGTCAACAGCCTTCTCCCAGACTCTCTCAGCTTTTGCTTTATCGCTGAAGGGGCAATTAACATGAGTACAACCTCATCCCAATGGAATTACCTTGCTGCCTCCTTCGTGGCCAATTTAATATAACATTGTGCGGTATTCAAATGACAGGACAAGGCGATCGAATCATGTTCAGCCTGTTGCTCGGGACTCATGTCGAACGCCTTGTTCAAGTGCTGCATAGCGCGGGCGTACCTGGTTATCAAATAGGAAGCCCACCATACAGCAATGGACATAAAAGCTTACCGGCTAACAGCATCCTGTAGGTTACCAGCCTTGAAAACGACATTTCCCTCTTCCTTGTTTTTACCAGCCATTCGGAGTCTCTCACTTGCAGGCATCTTCCTGTAGTCATGATCCTCCTTCACCTTCCCTAAACACATCGTCAAGTAACACCACGCTGCCGATCAATCTCACCCTGCTCCTGAGCGGCCCTATCCTCGAGCTCTTTCTCCGCTCTCTGTCGGTCCTCCTTTTGAGCCTTGAAGAAGGCTTCCCTAAACATGTGTGTGACACGGGCAAGCTATGAGACAAGCCCTCACCCCTCAGACTGGACGAACTCTTCCAGGGTCTTCAGCTTCTCCTCATACTCCTGAGTCGACACCGGCACTTCAGCATACTGGCTTTCCTCAAACCATAACTCCTCCTTGTCCAGACGAGGGGCAATCTAAGCATAACCACAGCCTTGTCGAAGTGATAAGAAGTAGATCCAACCTTATCCCTAGGAAGAAGTCCCTTCTTGTCGCCGTTGATCCAGTCGCGGACAGTATATATGTAAGTCTCGAAGGCGTTCTTGGCATGACGACGGGATGTCTGATACAACAAGACTCGGCGAAAATCGTTGCCAGACTGCCACCACCAACCTCCTTATCATGAACGTCTTGCATCCATTCCTCGAGCTCCCGTTCCTTGGGGTCCACCATATCATCAGTCAACTGGACATCCTTCCTTATACCTTCTACAGTGTCACCTCTGAGGGGCACAAGATCGATGTAACACGATGGTCACAGCAGAGCTCACCGTGCAACATCGACGGCAATGGCAGCGGCACCAGCAGCCACGCAACTGCTACCGTCTAGGCCGGCACCTAGCTGCTCACAAGGGACGTCAGCGGCCCTGAGCACAGACAGATACTTGTAAACCGCCCAGCAATCACAAATTCGCATTACTTGGCAATCGCCTCCCGTACGCAGGGGATGCGACTTCCACCTCCAACGAGTTCGGCCCTGCCCAGAGAGCCTCCAGCAGCGGCGACAACACGAGCCACCATGTCTTGAATAGCGGTCGTTATGCTCTTGGCGGCATCCTCGAATTTGGCCCTGTGGACGATTCACAGACATGAGCATCGAACTGAAGTCACCTTGTGAGAGGCAGACGAACATCTCCATCATCCTCGGTGAAGCATTCAAGCTCGAGTGTGGTATCGGCCAGCATCGAGAGCTGAACAAGACAGGGGCATCTACGGGAATTTCCTTGTCAGAAAAGCGGACCTGCTTAAGGGCCTTCTCTGAGGCAGCTAGGAGGCGGCGTCCTCGTCGAGTGCAAAGCTTGACAGCACCATACTGATCGCGGATCTGACGGGGCTTCTGGACTGTTTCCCGAGCACTGCATGACATACCATATTGCAAATAGTGGTGATATATTCGAACACGCCAATGCTCTTGTTGGTTTCACTACCAACTATCTTCCCCTCGGGATACGATACCACAGTCGCCGTTGCATGGGAGTATCCAACATCGACGAAGAGTACCAATCTAAGAGAGCCAACTCCAGTGAACCTATGACGCTACCAAGCATGAGCCTACCCTGCCTCCTCTAATTTAGCAGTTGACTCCTTGTGCTGATAGGCATTAGCGATGGCCAAGCTGTGGTCTAGTACCACTAAACGATGGTCTGAGAGCAGTAGTGAAGGGGGCAGCATGCAACGTGCTGAGATATCACTTGGAGTAGCGAGAGCTGCGGCTTTGACAAGTCTGTCGATGGCCTCGTCTGAGTAACCATTAGGAACGGCGATGGCCATGACGTCTGGCACCTCAGCATCATCGCAAGATGCATAGGAACGAAGATTCTGAGCACGAGTATAGGTGGGACTAACGCTTCTCAGCCTGGCACTGACCTTAAGGTATATAGCAGTAGCTTGAGTGGGAGTAAGCTCAACGCCTTCTCGATCAGCGTGAGTGATGGGGCCAAGCTTAGTCTCCCAGGCACACTCGAACCGCTTGCTGCAAGCAATAGGGTCCTCGAGAGCGGAAGCCAAATGGGAGATGTAACCATCACTCTGAATAGGAGTATCGAGTGATACAGGCACACAGCGAGAACCTACCTGGCCCATTGCATGTTCACCAGTTAAACGAAGGCCGTCCGAAAGGGCAACAGCACTCGGTGTGGCTCTATTGGATACATCATTGACGTCAATGCCAATAGCCGCCTTGGCTGTAGTAGCTGGGAGGGCAGAGGCCACCACCGAAGTCCGAGTACCGAAATCCACACCGACACACCAGGTGAACTTCCCAGCTGACGACGGGGTCGGTGTAGAGGGCGTGCTGCTGCTGTTGCTGTTGCTAGTGCTGCTCGACATAAGCCACAACTGTGTGGAAAAACAATATACTACCAACGAAAGGACCGCTCTCGGTAATCCAAGCACTCGAACACGACATAACCTCAGAAGTCAACAAATTGCTGACACTTACAAGACATGCTGGTCTGAAGGACCTCAGAGGTTAAAGTCAATGTCGTCATCAAGAAGATCGACTTGGGAGTGGTCTAAATACATGCCAACAGGAAAGGGTCCCTCAGAGGTGACCAATGTGGAGCTGCTGTCGGATCCTGGCATAGCACAAGGGGCTTTCCGTCGTCTACTGTCTAGGTCAGGCTTGGAGGGATAGCGCGAGGACACCATAGAAGGGCTCCTAGCCACGATAGACTTAGACCTTCCCACAGCAGTCATTACCACACTGAATGCCGGAGTGAAGCCCAAGCAAGTGAGCTCATCCTCGATGAC